ATAATTTTTACTTCCCCTCCAAATAAAGTCTAATGTATAATAGTGTTGCAGTGCACACTNCATAATAACTCCTTAAACGAGGATAATATATAGTTATATAGTGGGGCTGTATGGTTTAAGGTTGTTCACAAACCATTAATCAAGTATATTTCCCTTTTAGTACAGCCCTACTTATGGCCAAATATATTAAATATTCAGTAGATGTTATAAGTAAATCACATTCTTTCGATAGCTTCCTATCCCTATTGATCCAATCAAAAGTCTTCTACAAGCCCCCCCCTTGGGCTGCACTTTAAATGTCCTGGGTCTCGTTGGGCTAATAATTCCGGTGGAGTGTCTTGATGCACCCAAAAATCTTCACAGATACCTCTTACAATTTCAATTTTTATTCCATATTCTTTTAAATCTTTTCCTTGATATCCCATGTCAGCGAATATTTTTCTAATTTTATTATATTTTTTTCTTCATGTTATCTAATGCTATTTTTATACTATCTCTGTCGCTCTCATTGGCAGCTCCGACATAGCAAACAAGCACAAATGTGTTCTGTGATTATATGCCTCTTTCCACCATTGACTTTCTTGCCTATATCATAACCCTTGCTTTTTTTCTGTCGTTTTATAAATTGGATATCCACTATACAAGCACTTAGTTCCTCTTTCCCTCCCGTTTTGGACCTGTTATACTTAGAGATATCGTAATTCATTTTACGAAAATCCCCTGCTTCTTCCATCTCCTAAATTGCTCATATGCTTTCTTTAATGGCGGAAAGTCGTTCGGCAAATAGCGCCATTGCGCCTATAAGTAATACATAAAATCTCCTAATACTTCTCTTTTGCTATGTTTTAGCGGCCTCCTACTTCTTATGGTACACTCTAAAGGTGTTTCTCTATTAACAACTCTATTTCTCCAGATCCATTGGATACTTTTTTCTCATCTGTAAATCCTTGTTGTATCTCATAATTTTAATATCAAAATAGCTTGATACATTAAATTAATTTATTAATTCCGAGTGGAAAAACGATATATGAACATAGAGAGTGACGTTAATGAACTGTTTAACTTTGATACTTATCAGTACCAACATAGCATCAGCGCATCACATAAAAATCAATAAAGAAGATAAAAAGGATAGATCTGCATAAACAGCTTTTAAAGGGGGGTATTGGCTCCAGAATAGACAAAGGTATTACTATCTCACCTCGTTCTTATAATGATTTACTTGCGAACCAGGAAAGGTTTGAGAAATTCTTTTACAATTTAACCGCGGTAAAAAAGAAGAAAGAAGAAGGAAATTTCTAACTTCTATAAACCAAAATTTAAAGAAGCAAGAAGAAAGTGGTAGTTTACCAGTTAATAAACAAGGAGAAACTCAAATGAAATATTACACATAAGAAACAAAATGGAAACAAATTTTTGCAAATTTGAAAAGTATAAAAGAAATACATAGTAAAAATGAAGATCATCTAAGAAAACTCATGGAATCAGTGTAGCATGTGACACGAAGTGGTTGCCAATGAGGACTTTTATTAGAAATATATGGCAATTACAGAAGTGTACATAAGAGATTTAAAATTGGTATAAAAGGGAATTTGAGAAAGATTGTTAAAATATACATAAGATCCAGATTTGGAAGTGCAAATAATTGATGGGACAATCATTCGAGCTCATGCTTGTACTGCTGAATACAAAAAAGATTCTGGAGCTCAAGAAGCACTAGGACGCAGCAAAGATGGATTACAACTACTCTTAATCAAAAAAATGATATTACACAGGCTAAAACATTGACTGAAAATGTTCAAACTCTACTTTAGTAGCCGATAAGGGTTGCTATAGCAATGCACTCCTCTAAAAAGAAATCGAAAAGCGCGGAGATACTATTACGAATACGTTTATAAAGAGAGGCATTTTATCGAGTATTTTTTTTGTAAGATAAAACATTTTAGGCGGATTTTTTCTCGACTTGACAAGACTGCAGTAGTTTTCATGGATTTTGGTTTGTAGAGGTTGGGGATTTTATCGAAAAATTAATTATAAAGTCATAAAATTAGCATTTTATTTCTCTTGACTATATAAAAATATCAGAGATGATTATCTAACAATGGAGCACTGTTTAATTAAATTTTAGGAGGTTTAGTAATGTGGAATAGGCTGGTTATAATGTTTTGTTTTTGTTTTTTGATTACTGGTATCAGTTCTTGTCCAAAAAAGGGAATAAAAACTACAAGTAAAGCAAGTCCTGCAGTTAAGCAAGTAGGTGATAAAAGAATTTTCTTTAATTATGATGAATTTAATATTACTGAGGCAAGTGCAGATATCTTATTAGATGTGATAGCAGTATTGCAAGATAATCCTGATGCGCAAGTTGCCTTAACAGGTCATGCTGACAATCGTGGTTCTCATGACTATAATCTTGCTTTAGGCGCTAAAAGAGCGGATTCAGCCAAAAAGTTTATGGTTAATTGCACGCCATATTTGGGAAAGAGGATCAAAACTGCTTCTAAAGGAGAGACAGAACCTTTAGTTCAAGTCAAAGATAACTCTAAAAATTCGAAATATGAAAAAGAACATGCTAAAAACCGCAGAGTGGAATTTTCGTTCTCTGGGATAAAAAAGTAATTTTTTTTCAAGCTAATAACCTTAGGTTCTTAGTAATAAAACTTAGGGTTGTTACTTTTTAAGTATTCTTATGAATGAAGTTAGACTTATTTTTTCAAAATATAATTGACAATTTTGCTATTTATGGCAATAAGGTAGCAGTTGCAGTATCTGGCGGAGTAGATAGCATAGTTTTGTTGCATTTAATAATTGATTATACGAGAAAAAAGAATTTTTCACTTCCTACAGCATTAATTGTAGATCATAGATTGCGTCCTGAATCTCAAGAAGAGGCTAATTTTGTTTCAAATTATGTAAAACAACTTGGGGTAGAGTCATTTATATTAAATTGTGAAAGGCAGAGCATTGTAAGCAATATTCAATCCCAAGCAAGAAAAGCGCGGTATAGATTGCTAACAGAGTGGTGCACAAACAATAATATTGAATATCTATTTGTCGCTCATCACAGAGATGATCAGGCGGAAACATTTTTGCTGAGGTTAGAACGCGGTAGTGGCATAGATGGACTATCATCTATGGACTACAAGTCTTTTTCTCACGGTATTTGTATACTAAGACCGTTATTAGATTTTAGCCGCAGTGATATTGAAAAGTATGCAAAGTTTTATCAACTAAAGTGGGTTGAAGATAGAAGCAATCAAAACTTAAAATATAAACGCGCTTTGTATCGTAACTTACTTAATGCAAGTGATGACCAAGACACTTTAACGCAACGAATATGTCTTTCTGCCCTTCATATGAAAAGAGCTTTACAAGCGTTAATGTACTATACAAGACTTGCTTTTGATAATTGCGTTAATATACATGATCTTGGCTACATTGAAATCAAACTCAATGAATTTTATAAATTACCAGAAGAGATAGCTCTCAGAGTTTTTCTTTACTCCATTATGGCAATTGGCAATAGACGCTATAAACCACGATATAATAGTCTGATTTTTATATTTAATAAAATATTATACAAAGATTATGATATCGACCTCACTTTTTCTGGATGTAAAATAAAGAAATACGGAGAAAACATCTTAATTATCAGGGAATCATCAAAGATAGAAGCGGTATCTATAAATTTACCTGATAATAAACCTATACAATGGGATAATAGATTCAGTTGCGCAATGCTTGGAGGTCACAAATGTCAAGTAACTATTGCTCCATTAAAGAAGACACAAAAAATCCCTGAATCTCTAAGGAAATACAGCTGTTGTCCTGAGGTTTTATATTCTTTGCCCGTAGTACAAAACGATGGAAAAATACTAGCATATCCTTACATGCATCATAACACTGATAATATAGCAAAGTATATTATTAGCTGCACAATAAGAGAAAATTTGATTAACCATTTATTAATTTGAGAAGTTAGGGTGCAACTTCTGTTAACACCAAACTTCATTAATAATGAGACAAATAAAAAGAGCTCTTTTTGCTTATAATCAAGGAATTTAAGCAAATTCACAACATATCCTATTTGTCTTTACAATAATGAAGGTTGATATTAGCATATAGAACTTCTGCTTTGTATCAAACTAGCATTATCCACAGAAATAAAAGCTTCATTATCCTGCATCTTATTGTGATCAAGGGAAGAAAAGGGATCTTTGTATCACCACGATTAAGAGAATAAGCTACCTGTTTCTCAACAGGATTAGTTTAATTGGATTCTTGGTAATCCACAAAGCTTCCTCTAATACTTTAATACAACTTTGGCACTATGATTATAATAATCTTTATCACAACTACCTTCTTCTACTTTACCATCATTTGTCAAATTACTATTAATATGCTCTTTGCAGGCGCAATAGTTTTGGTCTGTCATCTTACCATTTCTACTCATGATTTTTGTGTGGAGTGATCATAAAGTATTATTTGTTCCACTAACTTTATGTATATTTCTTTCGGTTTTTCTCTAGCATTAACTTCACTAGCAATAAGATTAGGACTCCGTTAAAAAAAAGAAGTTATGAGAATATATTGCGTCCCAATTGCTACTGGCAGTATAACATCCACTATGGTGGCTTACAGCATCATGCCCCTATGCGCAAGCTTTATTATCATGATAATGATAGCATTGCCCACGCCATATGTTACCAGCCTCGCCCATGTATAATCTTCACCCCCCCTACAAAACAAGGAAAAAGTGGCAAAACCCCTTGTATTTTAGACAATTAAGGGT